AGGAAAAGGTGCACAAGCAACAGGGATGACCTCAAGCTTGAGGTTACTGTCAAACAAAGCAGATTCAAACACTTGGGAGAGCTTCACAAGGAGTGGACTGAAGCTGGAGTCAGTGCATTAAGAGTCACCACGCTCAGATGTCTTCAGGTAAAGGGCTACCAAGCCACTTCTGAAACAGAAACCGCATCTTACCTGGGCTAAGGAGAAAAAGTACTGGACTGTTGCTCAGTGGTCCAAAGTCCTCTTTTCAGATAGAAGTAAATTTTGCATTTCATTTGGAAATCAAGGTCTGGATTCTGGAGGAAGACTGGAGAGGCACAGAATCCAAGCTTCTTGAAGTCCAGTGAAGTTTCCAAAGTCAGTGATGGTTTGGGGTGCCGTGACGTCTGCTGGTGTTTGTCCATTGTGTTTTAAATCAAGGTCTGGAGTCTGGAGGAAGACTGGAGAGGCACAGAATCCAAGCTGCTTGAAGTCCAGTGTGAAGTTTCCGAAGTCAGTGATGATTTGGGGTGCCGTGACGTCTGCAGGTGTTGGTCTATTGTGTTTTATCAAGTCCAAAGTCAATGTGGCTGTCTACCAGGAGATTTTGGAGCACTTTATGCTTCCATCTGCTGACAAGCTTTATGGAGATGCTGATTTCCTTTTCCAGCAGGACTTTAGCACCTGACCCATGTGCCAAAACCACATTTGCTGACCATGATATTACTGTGTTTGATTGGCCAGCCAACATGCCTGACCTGAACCTCATATGGAATCTATGGGATATTTTCAAGAGAAAGATGAGAAACAGTCGATCCAACAATACAGACGAGCTGAAGGCTCAACAGTGCCTCAGCAGTGCCACAGGCTGATTGCTTCCATGCCACACCTCACTGATGCTGTCATTTGTGCTAAATGAGCCCTGACCAAGTACTGAGTGGATAAATGAACATACTTTAAAGAACTTGAACTTTTCTGTTTTGCAAATCCTTTTTTTTTTTTTTTTTTTTTTTGATTGATCTTAGGAAATATTCTAATATTTTGAGATACTGGATTTTTGACTTTCATGAGCCGTAAGCTCTAATCATCAAAATTAAAACAAACAAACAAAAAAAAAACTTTTGAAATGTTTTACTTTACATGTAATTAATCTAGAATATATGAAAGTTTCACTTTTCGAAATAAGTTACAAAAAAAAAAGAACTTTTTCACGATATTCTATTTTTTTGAGATGCACATGCATATGCAGATGCAGTGACATTTAGACTGATGGCAGGTGACAGCAGTGCAGTACATCAGTGATCTTGTTATAGTCAGATGTAATCTGTTCACTAACTGCAGATGTGGTAAAGCATTATCTGTAATTTCTACACCTTAACAAATACAGTACATACATGACATCTATTAAATGCCCTTTTTGTCAAATAAATCTAATCGTTACAGATTTCTTAGGCCTGATTTTGATTAAATAGAGAACTGGAATTAAAACAACTGTTGTGTTTGCAGGCCAGTGTTGTAATTGACAATAATGAATCACTTTATTGAGCTTTGACAGAGAAGGAAAGCCCAATTAACTTCAGAGAAGTACACGGACACAGCACATCTATTTAATTCTCAGCACTGCATGACTGCAGTTTGGAGAAATAATTTTATGATAACAAGGCATTCCAGCTAATCTTCTTAAAACGCAAGCCAGCTGGCAGCATGTACCACAGTCCATGTTAATGACTTGCCTAGCATCCATTTTTGACACTTCTGCAACATCATGTGTTTACGTTGAACTGTTCTAGTTTTTAAACGAGCTATATATGTGCTGTGTATTAATCAAAATATATAAATTTCATTAAAAATTATTCCGAATAATTTTCTTTGCATCAATGAAATTAATTATTTAATTGTACAGGTGCATCTCAATAAATTAGAATGTCGTGGAAAAGTTCATTTATTTCAGTAATTCAACTCAAATTGTGAAACTTGTGTATTAAATAAATTCAGTGCACACAGACTGAAGTAGTTTAAGTCTTTGGTTCTTTTAATTGTGATGACTTTGGCTCACATTTAACAAAAACCCACCAATTCAATACAGGAGTTTCACAATTTGAGTTGAATTACTGAAATAAATGAACTTTTCCACGACGTTCTAATTTATTGCGATGCACCTGTATATAGCATTCAAAATTCAATTCACAAACAATTACCACATCTAGAGCATTGCAGGCACATTCTTACAGAAATATGAGTTGCTGTGAGGTTGTAACGTATGACTCATCCCCTGTGAGCATCTCAGCCAATCAGAAACCAAATGGCAGGTTGTGAGGTAAATTGGAATTACTGTGCGATAGTGATTACTGATTAAGTGAACTATGAGAGAAGCAATGCACATATTTATGTATAACTCAGCAACAAGTGCTCTAGAAACATGCACACATATTAACATGCACATTCTCGAGAGGAAGTTCTGAGAGTTCTGTGCTTGAAATTCACTGCTGCTTGAAATGACTTATGGGAATTTAAAAATAAGGCAGTTTATCTTTGTGTAAAGAAATGACCATATACATTTATTATCTCACATTATACAGTTTGATGACTTCAAAAAGGTGAAGGCAACATTTGAGTAAAGATAAAAAAAAGCATAGCTAAACATTCATTGCTTGACATTGCCATTTTTTCCCTTATGGATTGCTCAGTTGCTCTTTTGCCATCTAAGAGCTCTTTATGTTGCTAGGTTCTCAAGTCTGTTGGCAGCATTGTGACAACAAATGTTCAGTTTTCAAGCTGCTAGAGAAAGTGTCATTGACACTGATCAGAACAGCTGGAGGTGACAGGAACCTTTACAAAGAAAGCGCACTGCTGTGGCACTAACACTGTTGATTTACTATATTGGGTAATTCACTACATATGGAATACTTAAATGATATTTCAGCATTGCAATTAACATAACATGCATTTGCTACTGTGAATAAATTTGTGTTGTTAATATTATTTCAAGGCTTCACTCTCGGTCCTTTTATCTCTCAAATAGACATACTTCATGTAGGCCTACTTCCTCTTTTACACATACTGTGCTGATACTGTATTACTTACACCTTATAATCAACAATTATATTTCTTTCCTATTTATATAATGCAACGTATAACTGAATACGTTGATGATGTCTGAGACATACAGCCTGATGTTGTTTGTATAAATATGACCTATCTTCCTGAATAAAGTTGAGAATGCTTTGGTAGCGCGCCAACTCTCTGTGTCTGTTCATTCATTCTCCCAGGCTTGCGCAGGCTGTACTTCAAAGCATTACCATATTTTTTTTTTTAAATCAGACAAGTGGAATTGGTCTACATTTCACCCAGATGACTGATTCTTGTGTAATGAAGAAAACCAAAAGTTTATATATTATGGAATTATTGTGGATTAAGCACTTTTCTAAAGACACAAGTGTGTCAAACAAATTGGTCCATGTATGTCAAGATCAAGCTATGATAATATCTGATTAATGCTGCTGAAATTAATTATACTTTTCAATATAATAGTAATAAAGGGGCATCAGCAGTGATGACATCCATAATAAACAGCTTTCTTGTTTCTGTGGGGTTCAAAAACGAAACACTGTCCATGGTGGCTGCAGCCTTTCCTAGTTGATCCCACTGATTTACTCATTTAATTTGAGGAGATATTGGATGTATCTATCAAGGCACGAAATGTAAAAACACACATTACCGTCCACAGGATGACACAGGGACCACGGTGTGTGTGTGTGTGTGTGTGTGTGTGTGTGTACTGTATGTTGGAGTCTTCATGATGAAGGGAGGGGGCCCTGCTGGTTACTAGGATACACCCATCCATCTGTTAGTGCGGGGAGTTATTTTCAATGCGGTGCATTTTACATCAGCGCTAGAAAAAAGAGCTCAGTTGTTCAAAACACATGCATTGCAAGGTTCAAAGTGTCTCAAATGTTTCGTTATCAAAACCAAACATCTTAGAGGTAATTACCATGCGCGACGCGCCTATTTGAGAAGTCAACGAATATTTGAAAACGCGCCTGATTTCTTTTGCAATGGACAGCGTTTGAGAGACAGATAAACCGACAGCTGAAGATCGCGTTGACTGATATCTGCGGTCGAGAAGAGGAGCAGCGGAGTCACCTCACGCACGCACGCACGCACGCACGCACGCACACACACACACACACACACTCCCGCTCGTGCTCTTCCACACACACGCGCTCAATCTCTCCACCGCGCGCACAGACGCTCATCCACTTGACCGTATAGGCATTGTTACATTTCATCCACATTTATAATCCGCGCTTTGATCCACAATGGAAGAGAACATGGAAGAGGGACAGACACAGAAAGGTATTGTGTCTAATAGCTTTCCTTCATCATCTCCTTCTTTTATCAAGCGCACTTGTCTTTGTGTTGATGCAGACGTGTTTACAATCTCAATCAGGCAAGCTCGATTGCTTTAATAATATTTTTACAGCCTTCAGAATCAGTGGTTGTATTGTTAAAGGCTGCAGCACAAATTGCAGTGATGGTGATAACGATCAGATGCTGGTGTGGTTTCAAGTGCACTGGTCAGTCTGTGGGAATGGCAATTGGCAGTGCGCTCATTTGTGTCATTTGCTTTTTTGTGCTTGTCTTAATAGATAATGAGGTTTTGTCACAGCTCTCCTTTCTCTCCCCTGCTCATTCTTTCTTTCCATCATTGGGCTGCTCTGGTTATCACCACAATGCAGCCATTACAAAACGGTACTCGGGTCAGATTAGATTAGTGAGGCTGTTTACTGCCTTTGTCTCTTAAACTGTTTTCTTTTCACGATTGTCACTCATCTGATTTAAAGCCATAGCTTTTGTAATGTGTTTGGCTTGGGAGGCGTGTGGGAGAGGGCGTCTGGTGTTGCATGTATTAAGAATGAGCTATGAGAATACTGTATGCCAGATGCGAGAACGTTGATGGGGATTCATTAGAAATCCATTGAAGTAATGTATAGGTGAGAGGTGTCCAATATGTTTGATGTTTAGTCTTAAATAAGCCCCGCAGTGTTTCTCCCACTCACATGCCCACTCTCATGCTTTAATTTTTATATTATTGCTGTAGTTGGACATGCTGAAGAACAATAGGTGGCAAATATAAGGTGGGGCAAGAGGGAGTTAAAAAAAATAAGGCTGGTTGCTAGGCCGTGAGTGGATGTGTCATCAAAATGGTGCTTATGAGCAACTGCAGCTCTTCTTTAAGTAACGGCAGTGCTTGCCTGCCATAACTGACCCACTTCTGATCGAGAGAGAGAGAGGAAATCAGGGCGGCATGCAAAATGATCTCTTTTTAACCCATACTGCACCCCTCTTCCTTGTTATCGCCTCAGAATGCGAGTTACAAACCAGCTGTTGATCAAAACTCCATGTGTTTGAAGAGTTTAGGTTGCGTAAGGCTTGATATGAGAGAGTCTGAATTCAATTTGACTTTTAATAGAAGGTGCGTTGGTTTCTCCTGATGCTGGTTTTGGCTGTTATTGTGAAACACCCGCAATGAAATGCCGTACACACAGCCTACAGAAGCTGCTCAACAGATGTGCAGTCCTTCAGCGTTTTCTGTGGAAATCAATTATTTCCACTTCACTCATGTGAGGAAGCACTTCGCAATAACAGTGTTTAAAGACTGCCCATGGGGACCGTCAGCGAGGGATTCTCTCAGAACCAGTCCTATACTCCTCGCTCTCTCTGTCTGTGAATGAATTTCAGCTCTAGCTTTCCAGTCCTCATTGTTGATGGCCTTTTTTTTCGGAACTTTCTTGTTCTCACTGGGAATAAGGATGGAAGTATAGTTACTAGGGTGGTAAGAGAGAAGGGACATGAAAAGGGACCCAGGAAGATACACCTGGCTGTGGATATAGAGACTTCATTAGTCCGTGATATGAACAGTTTGATTATAACACAGGCAGCGTCACATGACTGCTTGTGGGGGTTAAGATAGATAAATCATTCATCTTCAGCAGATGGCAGAGTGCTCTGGATTAATTCTCATCTTTAGTTTCCATAAGTGGATCAGCAGGCAGATAAGCTGTACCATCACAAGCTATGCACTTACAATGTATGTAATGACGTTTTTATGCCTATATGAATGTGTGTGTGCCATGGTTTGTTGAGACGGAGTCCATGGCCACAATATGATTTTTATTGCTGTAGCATATAATTAGAGCTGTGGCATCAAAACTTCTTGGAATCATAAATCAAAAAAGTAATTACACTCCTTTGAGTGCATAGATTAAGCCACGGCTTGACCTGGAGGCAGTTTTTGGATGGAAACTGCATTGATCTTGCTCTTGGGACATGCTACAGTGCATAGCGAAATTAAATACTCTGGACTGCCTCGTTCTTTCTCCGCGGCCATCATTCAAACACTCTCGTTAACTGCATAAACTCTAATGTAGAAGTTAAATCGATTCTCTGCGCTTTGATTTGCGAATTCATATGCTCACTAACATTATTTAGCTATTGTTGCAGACTGGATAAATCATGTTTCATAAGGTCTTAGTGAATAGGTCATAGTGTCAGTCACACACAGAACAGAGCTGGACTTCCAAATTCCTGTTATGATATAAATGTGGCTTTTGAATGCAGTTCTGAGAGAAAATTTCAGTGAGAGAAATGCAAATAACTTCATATTTATATAAGTTCAATAATTTTTATGTTCTCCTTAAAGAACTTTGTCCTGATTCCTGAATGTTATTGCATTTCATGTTACTGAAGAGAGCAGTCATTCTGAAGAAATAATAAAAATACCATGTAGACATTGACTTTTTTTTTTTGTTTGTTTGCTTGGATTTTTTTAAGTCATGATGTAATAGAATTGAAGATTTGTTTTCTCTTTTAGAAAGGTAATCATTCAGTGACAGAAGAAGGACTTTGAAGTAGAATTCCGAATGAGACTCTCCGTGTACTATTGATCTTTTGCTTCTTTTGTTGTGTTTTCTTTGCCACGTATCTTCAAAAGTATGATAGCTCTGTGTACTCATTTGAAATATGTCGCTTCTTCCTGCCTCTTGATCAATGATGTCCTCTGGGCTAGAAACCCTCTGATTGATGTCCTAAGCTGTTTCAGTGTAAACATTTCATGTTTCACTGAATTGTGCATCTGTTGCATGCTTGTGCCAAACCTTTATAGATGTTTTGGAAAGCTGTTTAGATCATTTTTATTCACTTATTCAAATAAAGAAATAAATACTAATTACTGGTCGACCGATATATCGGCCGATACTTGGCATTTTTCAAATATCGGCATCGGCCGATAAGTTTTTCTGTTTGGCCGATGCGTTCGAGGCGGGACTTTTATTTTGACGACGCTGAGTGTGGCAGTGCCTGAGCACACAGTGCTCACATTCTCCCTGTTCGCTGTCATCTTCAGTTCCTGTTTAATCCGGTTGGAGTTCTGTCTAATAA